GTAAAATTTGTCTGCTTTAAACTGCAGCAGTTCGAATATTTTTATACAGGCACTGTTATTTATGTACTCCTGCAGCAGCAACTTAAAGCTATAAATATATAGTATGTGTGCTTCGAAAGAGAAAAGAAAACTGTGGACTGCCATTCATTGAATCAAATTTCCTGCTCTTCTTTTTTCCTCTTCTTCTCATTGCTGTGGAAAATTATGTGGCACATATGCCGAGTCGAAAAACTCATGACTCATTCAGTTGATATCAACGTTACGCACTTAACTTTCGCACTCCGGCAAAGATGCTCGTAGTCATGCTTTAGCTTCATCTAATTTTCATAAGGCCAAGTGGAATTTCAACTCACGAACATGTACTTCAGCCGTCGCCTTAAATGGGCGGCCCCGCCAAAGGCGGAGCGAGATCTTTGAAAATGCCACAAAACCGACCGTCAATGGAATTTATTCGTGTATATATCATAAGCAGCGTAATTTGATTGAGCAATCTGCATATTGCGTTGGGAGCCATTGGAGGTCATTATGCTTATAGCTTGTAGCTAGGCAATGCTCAAATTCCGTCTTATTAGAGCTTTAACATTAATATTTCTTTTATTTCGGTGCGCTTTTACAATTTTTTAATGTACATTTTCCTCTTAATTATAATCAGGCTTTTCAAAGAAAACTTAACATTTTGTTTTTCTTTTAAAGCCTACTATAAATATAAAAGGAGGCGATGGGAATGAGGATTTCGCCCACAAATTTTCGACAGCTAATCACAATTAAATGTTTTCAATCTTTCTACCATTTATATGCCCTCTTAGTAAGCCATAACCTAATTTGTTGCAGGTTTCAGATCTTCAAGTATATATGAATTACACATGTTAAGTGCAATAAATAATTGACTGAAATCACACAACTATCGTATATATATTATATTTTATTTTGTATACAACAAAATAAAAGGTCTGCATTAAAACAGACCCAAGTCTATGATAAGTACAAAATAAATAGTAGTTGTGGCTTATAATTTGTAGCTACATTTTTAGGGTCTGACGAAAAAGGAACCCCTTTTATTAAAAACATTATATATTATGTAATATTAATATTTGACTTAATGTGACTTCATTTAGTGTTTTTTCAGTCTTCAGCTACTATAATCATAATTAAACACAAATACTTTCTCTTTATTGTTAACAAAATAAACAACTTTTTATTCATTAGTTAGCAATCATGTTAATAGTTCCTATTTACATTTTACATTTGCATGCATGCAATAATAGTTTGTATTGTTTGTATTTAACAGAATTTTATTTAATGCATAATTTCCATAATTTCTACCATCAACATTCGAGTTGTGGGTCGAGTTTATTGAGAAATATATATGTATGTTCCATATTTAATAAATCTTGCAAAAGAATTTCATTTTTGTACTCAGCTAGTCGAACTGTATACACCCTTTCCATAGTTTCTACAACCAGCATTCGCATTGTGAGTTAACTTTAATTGTGATATATATTTCACATTTAATAAAGCCTGTGAGTGTATCTCAGATTTTGTATTTCAACAGTCTAACTTCACTTTCGCTCTATTACAATCACTTTATAAAGATTGCAGTTAATATCTTTCCATAATTTCTTTTACCAGTATTCGCACTGTGAGTTAACTTTTTTTGCGAATATATATTTCACATTTAATAAAGCCTGTGAGTGTATCTCATATTTTGTATTGCAGCCAGTCTAACTTTTTTTTGGCTCTACTAAAAGCACTTTATATAGATTGTTGGTTTCGCGTATTTGTTCAAAAAGTTGCACATTGTTTTCCTTGCTGCGGCTGTTGGCTTTGCCTTTTTGTCCCATTTTTAGCGGAAAATGCAGAAACTGTGCTGGAAAAGTGCACACCGATTTTTGGGGTAATAATTTATAGGCCAGTTTCGGGACTCGAGGCTTGCGGCATGCAGGAATAACTTTGCAATGCTCAATTTGTGCAACCATTTTATATTATTAATGGTTAGCATTGTTGTAGCTGGCAACTGGCAACTGGCAACTGGCAACTGGTTGGCTTTCAAAGGATTTGCTTTCAACTCACAGAAATGGAATTTGGGAAAATGCATTTCCATTGTGGTCGGAGGAAGACGAGTCCGAAAGCATTTTCCTTTCCCTATGCAATTGTAGTGCGAAGATTTTGGCTGCCTTTTGCTGTGGTGACACATGCCAAAAATGGTCTATGAAACCGGAAACGACAAACAGCAACAACAACTACAACGACAGCAACAACAATCTACAATAGATAGACGTCAACCATTTTGTGGGCATTTTGTGCACTCAACTGCACCAGCTGCTGTGCTGTCTGTGTTGTCTGTGTCCACTGTGCCATAGCCACGCCTACACACTGTCCCTTGCCGAGGTCTGTTTGCCTTGCTGTACTATGTATTTTATGACTTGTTATTGCCACGCCCCTGCCAAAGCAGACCAGAGCACGCCTGCCCAAGCGTTAGCTAACTTTTTGCATTCAAATTACAAAATCCAACTTTAAATGCCCTACAGCCAAGACAGAGAGTTTCACGCTCTCACGGTATCCCCACAAATCTGTGTTCCATACTGCAATATTCAAGACGAATCAAGAACTAACTTTTAGCTATGCTATATAGGGCATTCAAATTGAATAGTAATCTATGTACAGTCTTTTGATAACAGGGTTTCCGTTCTATAACAGAAAGTTAACAGATAAGTTTGCATATAATGTATAAATTCTGTTAAACTTTTCTAGTATCATACATATATTTCTTTGCCTATATATACGTAATCTGCAAATAAAAATGAAAATAAATTATTTTGTTTATTGAAAAACGAGATATCTTCGCGTCTGCCAACATCGGTGGCAATATATAGAGTTACTTGTGCTACATTTTATGCTTGGCGTTTTCTTCAGTTTTTTATCTTTCTCTTAACACGCACCGCCCCTCCACCCAGAGCCAGAAAATGTGCGAAAGCAAAAGGAAACCCAATAGCACTTTAGCAGGTACTATGCCAAGAAGAAAACTGAAAGGATCTTCAGACCATTGAAGTCCATTCCTGCTGCTGCCGCTGCCGCTGCCGCTGCCGCTGCCACTCCTGCTGCTGTTGCTGTTGCTGTTGCTAAAAGTGTGCGCCAAGTGTTGAGAGATGTTTTGTTGCAGCTATTCACTTGATGGCAGATTTTTACCTGTTTGCCTAGTTTTTAACAACAGGAAAGAAGTTTTGCTTGTGTTCCGTTCGGTTCGCCGCTTTGTTTACGGCCAAATACAAAACAATGCCATTCTTACACATGAGCGCATTTGAAGCAAGTTTTTTGCAGTAGAAGCGGCAGCAGCAGCCGTTGCTGTTGACATCCTGCATTCAACTTGAAATTAGAGCTATTCTCCAGCTGTTGCTAAAGTCATGACTCAGACTCTTTCATTTGCTCTGCTCGGACTAGGACTACAACTGGGACTCGGACTCGGACTCGGATTGCATATTTAATCCGTTGCTGTAGGTCTTATTCGCAATTCCACACGCCTTGCTTCCTGCCTTCCTATCCAAAAGTGAATTATTGCTAGCATCTGGCGGCAACTGCTGCAGCATTTCAATTGGCCAAATCATTCGACTCATTGGCTCGAGCTTCGAGCCGAAAGCTGGCTATGCTCCGCAGCTCTTTGTTTGCCATTGGCATTAGTAATACAAATTGCACAGCGAAAGTTCAACAAACTACATTTTAAATGGGGCACACTAACTAAAAAAAAAGAGATGTACATATATACAAGTATGTATATATATATATTTACAATTAAGAAATTTGAAATCAGCCATGATCGACTGCTTGATACACGCCAAAAAAAATGCTAAGTGCGAGCTCGTAGTTTCGTAGCTTTCAATTAATCCTTATAATTATAACATAGTTTTCAAAATTAAGGATAATAAATTGTGACTACGGTATATATGTAAAGTGACATGAGAAGATTGGTCAATAGCAACAGGATGGCTAACGTTGTTTATGTTCTCAATAGTCTGCTTAATTTCAATTACAATTACTCAATTTATTAGATACACAATCATATGCAAAATAATTGTTACATATATTTCAGTGTTTTATATGACCAAATACATTATGTCATACACATGTCTCTATAATTATTAATTATTGACAAATAAAAGCGGTTATTAACAACAATGGAATACACAATTTTCAATACAGTATAGATAAGACTTTTCTATTTGCCATTCATCTATCAGGCGGAAATCCCAGCCCAGTTTCGAACTACTTGGCTTTCATATAGAAATACGGATAACAGACAGCAAGACGAGCATTGCGAAACAACCAATATATTCTTTTTTCAGTTCGTGAATATGTAACAAACACACACACATACAATTCGACAGGCAGCAAAGGACTTGGATTTAAAAATGGCACAGGTAGCTTTACAGTTGCCTTTTGTAGTGCTTTTAGCTATTTTAAGTTTTTATGTAAATTAAGGCCAAAACGCTTCATAGATGGCTTCCATTGTTTTAGCGTTGATTTGATTTCGCTCTGTGTATCTTCCACATGTGCATACGTAATAAGTGAACTTTGACCCTAATTACAGCATCATGTATCAAATACGAAAAAGTCTGTACCAAATTGAACCAGATGTAGTCATTTTATAAACAGGTCAGATCTGACTTGCTAAAGCAGCAAAAGGCAATAATAACAAATCCGAAATCTGATATTTTAGGGAAAAATAAAAAATAATATAAATCATATACAGGGTTTAATGAATTGAATTTCATGTGCTATTAAATATCATTTATTAATTTTAATCAGTAAAGAATGTCGCTCACTGATGCGACACACAGGAAAATTAATTCAGGAGCGTAATATCAATAATGTCAACTGACAATATCCAAAGTTCTTGTCAGCCCAGATTTTCAGCATGTACGTTAATTGAATTTTAATTAACGAACTGCAAGTTCCGTTTTAATCAATGAAAAACTCTATTAAAAATAATAAAGCTCATAACTTACCACGGCTGATGAATTGGGGCCCTCGTTTGATATGCTGCAAATAGAAAGAGAAGAAACAATTCATGTGAAAAATGATTTATAAATCGAATGCGTAAGCAACATGGAGCCCAATCAATTTGTTGGCTCCCCAATTAAAATGCCGGGCAGCAGTGGTTATCAACAACAAAATGACCACACAATGCCCTGCATCCATTTTGTTTATTGACTTTATCGAGTGTCAAAAATGGCATCATAATCAGAGCAGTAAATAGAGAAAAGGCAAAACGAGAAAACAACATTGGGGAAACACACACAAATAATGACTGCTGTGCTAATGCCTGGCGCAGAGGACACTTCCGGCTCCCATTAGCCGAGGCACTGCTCACAATTTATGGGCTCGGCGCTGAATCAAAAACTTTATGAAATCGACATCAAAATGCGGCGAGTAGTCCAATCTTTGCCCCCGCACACGCCCACACTTTGCTACTTATGTACATATTATTGAGGCGCCTGTCAAATGAAGCGCCACAAAAAAGCAGTGAGCGAGCTTCAATAAGCAATGAACGACTAAGAGATTGCCTGTACACTCTAGATGCCCTTTTATACAAATGACTGTTATACAAATGACTGAAGATATACTGGTATACCACATTTCGCGAGTCTATGAAATATCACAATATCACAATATGCATATCATGCCCTGTCACACTAGTTGCAGGGTATTAAGGTACACTGGGGATTCGCTTGGCCGGGTGGTTGGTTGCCTGGTTGGCGGTCTGGGTTTTCTGCCGGCTGTGCAACTGGGGCCAGCCTGGGCTGCCTGTTTCATCAACTTAAACTGCTGACAGCTGATAAATGCTGTTCAATTTGTTTCACCAATTTTTCGCCCTCCATTTAAAACTGTATAAAATGGCGGTTGACAGTTGACATGTCCTCCCCCACAGCCACCTCAAAGAGAAACAGTCTCTTGCCACGGCTAAAAAAGGGCAAAAAAGTATCATCAAAGTGGCTAAACGAGCTTATTCTGAAGCATCTCCTCTAAGGTCCAATCAATTGCAGTTTAAACTTTCAATTTTTCGGTGAGCTCAATCAATTTTTGTTCATGAAATTACGAAATGAGTTGAGGTCATTACGATGACATCTAGCAATTGTGATATATCGATAAGAAATTTTAAAATAGAGATATGAAATATGTATATTGATTTACACAAAATATTAATATGGATATATTTATATAGATTTTGAAAACTGTGCAAATAATATAACGCAATGAGTGTAATATATAACATAATGGAAGCTTCTCATATACATACATACATCTATACACACACGCACACACACCAATGTAGCTTTCCTGCGAAATCCTATTATGGGAAACTCGATACATGGCATTATTTCGGCAATAGAGGTACGACCCTAATGAAATAGCATAGGCATGCATATAATATACATGCTTCATTATAGGGGGATAAATTACCTAATAATAAACAAATATTAAACATTTACTGCGAAAGATACACAAAAATATGCAGTCCATATTTCAAATATTTAGGTTTCGATGCTCAGGTCGATAGACAGACAGGCGAGCTAATCCATAATATGTATAAGTATATGTATAGAGTTATAGAGTCAGTTCATAGTAAATTATGCATAAATCCGTTAAGAGTTTGTACAATATAAAATAGAGGCTTACAAACTCTTTGAGTTTTCCTTAAATTCATTAAAAATTTGTATTGAAAAGCTAAACTGCTGAAAGCTGAGGCTTTGTTTATTTCCTGTTTATTTCTATTTTCATTTATTTCTTTTGGTTATTGGGTAGGAAAAGGATGAAGGAAACATTTCAAGTTGACGAAATGCTGCAAGCTCGATAAATATTTTGCTTTAATTTCATTTATTTGTAAACTGTTCTGTGTGGGTGTACGAATGTGTGTGTGAGTGTGTGTGGGTTGGGTCTCTATCATACGGTGCTTCGTTTTATAGGCTGGCAGTTACAGAAAGTAGGGCGTGGCATTGCGTTTGGGTATAACACGTTCAGCGTCCGGCACAGCCTTGAAGATGTGGACAAAGCACTCTGTGGCCGTCTTAAACCTGAGTATGGCAGCCACGTTGCCGCAGCGATAGCAATAGTTGGGAGCTGACCAAACTGTAACCAGCTTCCCGTCGAACATGTACTTGACGCCATCGTCGACCAGCTGATGGGCGCGGCAAATGAGGCTGAGATTGTTGATGGTCATGAAGTCGTTGGTGACCTTGCGCCCGAACAGCCAGCCGGCGCCGCGCGGGCTCTGGTCCCAGCAGTCAATGTCCTCCGGATCGGACCACACCAGGTCGCAGAAGGCGCCTTTGTAAGGTATTTCGCCGATACGCTCGATTGTGCGCATCTGGTCCAGGGTGACAATCTCCGGACTGAGTCCGCCGTGCACGCAGAGCACCTGCTCATCGATGATCGCTGCAATCGTCAGCAAGTCGAAGACGTTGCAGCAATACTTCCAGCCATTCGCATTGCCGTACTTGCTGAAGCACTCGTCGAAAAAGCCGTACACCTTGGTGATCTGCCGCGTCTCGTGGTTGCCGCGCAGCAGAGTTATCTGGCTGGGGTAGCGCGCCTTCAGCGTCAGCAGCCTGGTGAACGTCTCCAGGCTGTAGTAGCCCCGATCCACAAAGTCGCCCATGAATATGTAGTTCGTGTCGGGCACCTCGCCGCCGGTGCTGAACAGCTTCTGCAAGTCGTAGAACTGGCCGTGGATGTCCCCACAGACAGTCACTGGGCTGCTGACCGGCTGCACGTTGGCCTCCTCGAGCAGAATGTCGCATATTATCTCACACAGCTTGCGCAGCTCATTCTCTGGCAAATATTGACACTTCTTCACCATCTCAATCCATTTGTCAACATCACCCATTATAAGCGTCTTTTCAAGCAAATTGCAATCCGGCTTCAGAACTACTACAAAAAACAACTGAATAGAAATTGTTTTCGTCTCTCCGACAGATCTACTATATACTACATTGACAAAAAAAAACTTACAAAGGGAGTGACAAAAGTATCTGAACGTAGGGTGAATGAATTGAACTAAATAATTGACACATATAAAATCTTTACACTGAGCTCTCAATAAATGAAAATTCTTTTTGCTGACACGCAAGTTGTTAATGAATATCATCTATCTAGATGATTTGTACCACCCCTAAGTAGTTAGTCACAAATAAACCTTTGCTACGAAAGCACACAAGCGCGGCATTTTTTCTATATTTCAATTAGATAACTTCCAGCAACTCGGATAGAGAGGAGTCTCCATCCAACACAAGTCACTTGTCAAATATATTTTAAAAATCAATTAAAAATGTTTAAATTTAAGTTGCAATATTTAAAACAAGTGCCAAAAACCGAAAATTCATTTTTATTTTAATTCATACCCACATATTGAATCTTTGCAGAAATAGGTGTACATATATAAAAATGAATATGCATGAATATAAAAATTAGAAAATTAAGCTTTTTGGTTGGCCGTATACATAAATTGAACAAAAAGCCCAGCTTATATAATTTTCAATATAGAAAAATCAATGTATATTTGCGAGCCCAGATTTAGATAAATAATAATATGCATATTAGCTTCGTACATTTTATTTACTTTCACTTTAAATTCTTAAATTATAAGCAAGCTTGACTCGCATTAGAGTTGTTAGTTATATAATAAATGTACTATATAATATATGTACTTATACATGTTTTAAGTTATGGAAGCGTAATCTTGACGCTTAACAAGTCGACATCTTAAGGCTTGTCAAAGCAAAAACACGAGCGTGTGGTTGCCATAACAACCACAGAGACAACAACAACAACAACAACAACCACAACAGCAGCAAGAGGAACAAAAAAATAATAATATTGTAATAATCACCCTGCTGGCATCAACATCATTATGCGGGATTGCATCAAGTGTAGCATATGCCATGGCTCGAGGCCAACGACTTGAACAACAACAGCAACAACAACAAGAGCTACAACAATCATCCTGCGCAGCCTTTTGAGCTGTTGCTTAAAGTCAACAAAACGTAAATCCGGAATCCTGCCAGGGCCACAAAGGAGCAAAAGAAATTTGCAGGCTGAATGCACAAGTTGCTGCCCAAAACAACTAAACACGGAGCCAAAAAAAAAAAAAATAGAAACACACACACACACACAGAACTCTTGCTGAGCCTGTGGCCAAGAATTTGTTTAAGTTTTTGCTCGGAATCTAATTAATTTCAAGCATGAATACATAAACTTTTCGAGCTGAGCTTCAAAGTCTATTAATTTTCGGGAACGGAGGCTTGTTGTGGGCGTGTAGATTGCGCTGCCAGGAATCTATTAGCCTGTAAACTTCTTCCGCTCCAGACACGCACACATTGATTAATTTTAAGACAATAATCATAAAGGCGTTGCCCACCTGACCACAATTTGCCAAAAACTTTGCTCTCCCACTCTCTCTCTCTCTCTCTCTCTCTCTCTCTCTCTCTTTCTCTTGCGCGCTCTTTCGGTTGACTGGTGCGTTGTATTCAAAATGGCGCACGTGCCTGGGTATATGTTTGTGCTGCGTAGCATACTTTCCAGCGTCTTCATTTCAGCTAACCAAGGCACGTTGGCTCGGCCCGTGGCTCGCAACGGCTGTTGGACGCCTGTGCAAGTTTGGTTAGTTAATTCGCTGGCTTCCACTCATTGCAACTCTGGGCAGGCCACAGGCATGAAAACCTAATCAAAGTTCCTATTGCTGATCAGTAGAGCGTGCGAGTTGGCCTATTCCCGCCAAATCTGGCTTTTATTTGCCTGGTTGAACTGTTTATTTTTTATGAGCCCCTGAACCCATTGAAAATAGGGAAGCGAATAATTATTGAAATATCAGAAATTCAGATTTTATACTCTGGCTTTTAATATGAAATTTAGTAAGAAAATAAAAATGTAATACAATCTAGTTTGTTTTACAAAAAGAAATATAATTTATTTACAACTCTCGAAAGTATCCGCATTTGTATTATTAACATTAATTATTAGGCTTTTCAATACATTTTAGCCTA